GTCATGGAATCCTATGGCTTCCCCTGGCCTGAGATGCTCAGCTGCAACAAGTTTCCCTTTGACAATGATTTGTGCATCACAGTGCAGTTTGGAAACAGCCAGGCTACTCAGCCACCAGGTAATGCCATGGGAGCTTAAGAGGGAGGGAAGGAGGTTAAAAAAGAGCTTGTATTAAGAAGTAACATTTCCAAGGTCTAGTCTGGAACATGTATGAGCTTCTGGAAAGTCTAATATTTCTCCATTATTAGACTTTCCAGAATCTCATACGTTTTGGACTAGACCTTGGAAATATTACTTTTCTTTTTTACTGTGATTCCCAGAATTTTCTAAGCATCATCGTCTCTGGCCATGGAATTCTGGGAGTAGTAATTCCAAAAAAGTAAGTTTTCTGATCTCTGCCTCAAAATAGGCTGACATCACCTCTTCTCTTGGCTCAGAATTTCATTTGATGGTGTGCTGATGCTTTATCAAATACAATGTATTAGAGCTTTCAAAGTCTTGAGCCATGAATAGCTGATGGAGAAGTACCAGAGTAAAACACACATAGCTTGGTACAGGTTTGGATTTGATCCTGTGCCCACTGCTTATCTGAGACCATTCCCAGATTGGTAGCTACTTAGGAATTTGCAGCTTAGTATCATCTCTGCTGTCTTGTCATATCCCAGGACCAGGCAAACTTTTACTAAAGTTTGTCATAGGACATTAAGAAATCCATCTGTCACACTTAGAAAATTATAGAGTGGACTTTAGTTTAGCTGTTTCCCAATCTGACTATATTTGTTCTGTTTTCCCATTCTTCATAATTTTTCCACAACTCCTCTCTTGCTTCTAGTTGAAGCTCTTTGTTGAGGTATACAGCCTTTATTAGGACTATGAGGTCAATCTCTAGCCAAGATTTAAAATCTGTAAGTATAGCAAGGACACTAATTTGAATAATCAGACTATTAATTGGGTCAAAAGTATAGGAAGAGTGAGTATGAGACCGACACATGAATGTATATTCATGCATATGTGTGTGTACGTGCATATTTACATACATAGATACACACACACACCTTCTATATGCCGTCATTAGCAATTTATTTATTTATTTTGCCACAGCAACCAGGTGGAGGCAGTGTTTGTTCAAAAGAGATGAAAGAGGGATTTCAAAGAGAGTCAGGGCACAGAGCAAGACACTGACAAAGCTGGAAATAGAAGCCAGACATTCCTAGCTTATTACTTCATCCTCCTAGTAATAATGAGATAGTCCACTCAGTAAACTGAAGTATTTCTCTACATTTTGCTGACAGTTATGATGGGAGTGGAGAAACTGTGACCCAGTGAACACCACTGAACTGCAATTCCCACCAGTTTTGTCCAGTATATGGGAGTTGAAGTCCAGCAAAAGTAGGGAACCAACCCACAGTGCCCCTCTGAGTGTATGGGCACCTTGTTTTACACACACTGGGCGAGGAGGTATCCCAAAAATTGATCACATATTCAAGAATTCAGTTCTGGCCTTGCTGAGTGCCTGCTGCAGTGGATAGGTTTGCATCAGGCTTCTCTTGAACATTTGGAGCCCAGATACATAATTCTGTTCCCTAAAACCTAGAAGCTAAATCCAATTGTTAGTCCCATCTACAACAGCCCCACTCATCAATGGGTGGGTAATCATCTACAGTCGGCCCTCCGTTTTCACGGGGGATCTGTTCCGGAACCCATCCACCCCCACGAAAATGGAGATTCACAAATATTCAAGCCCCATAGGCTTGAATGGGGTGTGCATTGATTTTAACGGAGGTTGCCTCTCCGTGAATATGCAAAATCAGGGACTTCAAGTCCGTGAGAATGGAGGAGTGACTGTATACAAGTTCTATTGATACAGTGGGCTCTGTTCTAGTTGGAATAAAAAATTCAATTTAGCTTTCAGAAA